GTTTTATTTCTAAGTCTCAGCAAGCTGCAGGTAACAACCTGCAGACACCGTGTCAATTTAAAGCCCCAAACACCAGTTTAGGTGAAATGGGGGTTTCGGGGTGTGAAGAAGCCAGAAGTACAGGAATATTCCCTGCCCCATTAAGCAATTCCCACATAACGGATTAATGAGCTGCTGATATCTCTATCCCGCTGGGGAAGTCATTAACCAATTCTGGTTACTGCCTGGAATGGCAGATGGGGCCACCTACTCATGCCAGGGATGGAAACACTCCTAAAGCTTTAGGGCAGGATGGGGGGAAGCTCAGTAATCCTCTAGGAAGCGTGTTAGTGGTGCAGGTATTAACAGGGTTCACAGGAAATCCCAGGGGAAAGGGAAGGCTGAGATTTTGAATATTCAGAGCAGAAAAATTGGAAGGAATTCCCAAATTACCCATATTAGTCCTTGTTTCAGGGTTTCCAAACAGACTCCTAATAATGGCCTGCTAAGCTCAAAAATAGTTATGGGATAAGGACAAGACAGGCCTTGTGCTAAGTCAAAAAAAAATGGAGATATTTTTGTGCAGGAGAAAAATGAGAAGAAAAACATAAACAGCAATTCTTACCAATAATGAACAGATTGTAAGACAAGTCTGTCAGTAAATGAGGGATGTGTTGCTTAAAATTACCTACCTGGAAAGATTTACTGAGACCAAATGATGGAAATATTTGCGATATCTGAGGTTACAGATATCCCTGGAACCGCATCCACGCTCCTTTTTGGCAAAAGCAAGTCCCAGGATGAAGGCTTTGCTTGGGACGTGCCATTTCCTTCCCTTTAACATCTAAACTCTGCCCTCAGATGCTGACCTGGGGATTTTTTAATGAGGCCCCTTTTCGCCGTTTCAGTTTCCCCAGCAGACAAACCTCCCATCGGCTTTTCACTTTTAGCTTCTTGTTTGCTCAGCAACGAGGTTTTACCATAATTTAAACCATTTTTCAGTTCTTCTGGTCTGCAACATTTATTTTCCGTAAAAAATATCAAAGGAGTGGCGGTTTTGTGTGATTGACTGATTGAAGGAAGCACTTCAGGTGCTCGTCTGTTCTTCAGCGACACAAGTTTTTAAATTTAACTCTAGAATTTTCCATAGACTTGTAGAATTTTCCCACAGAACTGTAGAATTCTGTAGACTTTCAAGCATCTCTCAGTGCTCAAGACTTCAGTGACCCCTGGGAACAGCTCTGACTCAGTTCTTCTCCTGGTGTCAACACTTCACAACCACTTCCAAACAGAATCTGCGGAGCAGTTACAGTGAGATTTGGAATAAGCAGCCCTGAATTTGTCTCACAGGAGTATTTTCAGCACCACCTCCCTCAGCCCAAAAGCCCCAGATAACGAAAAGTTTTGTTGCAAATTCCTTCTCCTCCTTATGTAACAAATTAGGTAGGAAAATACTCAGCAGAGCAGAGGTTTTTCAGGCACTAAGTCCTCTACCAACAACTTGTTGCTCAGAAAAAAACCCCCACCCTTGCTGCCCATTTCAGACTCAGGTTCCACGTACGGAATTTGCAAAAAAAAAAAAAAAAAAGATAAGGAAAAGCCCCTCTAAATACCTAAACAAAAGCTGCTTAGTTCAAGCTCCCATGGCCACATGGAGGCTAATAATTACCAAGGCAATCAAAGGCACTTTGGAAAATACAGCCTGTGTCCCAATTCCAGCAGTTTTACCCCCAAAGTGCCCGTAGGCTCCGGAGCTGCTCCACAGTGGCTTTGTATCCTCCTAATTTTCAACCTCCTGCAGTCAGACAGGCTGTGCCTCAGGAAAGAATGCAGCTTCCAGCCAAGAAGCTGGAACCAAGAGTTGTCAATGTGGATTTTTAGGCATAAATTGTATCACAGAAATCTCCAAAGTGGATTTGAGGTAGGATAAAGGTGGATCTGCGGATCTTGGTGCCTGCAAAAGTCGTCCACAGGACCGGGACATGAAACCCATGAAAATTTAAGCCTCCCAAAGGGGGCATTTCACAAACTGATGGCTTATCAAAAACTAGAATGACACAGAAGTAATTATTCATAACTACACTGAGCATAATCCCCCTCACACGGGGTACAGGCAGAGTCACTGCCATCAATGAGGACTTTGTCACTGGTTTCAATGGGCACAGGATGTGACCAGAACAGCATCTGCAGCAGCTCCCAGAGAGGAACACGAGGCAGAAAATCTTCATTTGTAACTCAGTGTTTCGTGTTTCAAAGGATTGGCCTCAGATGTGCTTTGGAAACTCTTTTTTTTTGGGGGGTATCTCTTTCTTCATCAAGCTGCATATTTATCAGCTCTAGTCCTAGACATGATCTTAAGAGCTTATCTCTCAAGGGATCAGAACTTCTTTCCAATTTGTGTCTTTATTAAAATAATCAGGGCTTGAAATTAATTTTTTTTTCTTATTGCTCACAACCTATGCTGCTTTCATCAAGAACAAGTAGTTCATTTCCACATCTTTTTTGTGACTTTTTACTTATTTATTTGCTCATCTGCCTCTAGCAAGCTCACATTCTGAGGACAGAAAAGCAAAAAAGTGCAGGTAAAAGAGAATTAATAATTTATTTGAAGATTAAGGAAATCAAGGAGATGTGCTGTCAAGTTTTGATTCCAGCAAGGAATTCCTGCAGACCTACTGCAACTCAACTTCTCAGTAGCTTTGTTTCTCAGTTACCATGTAAAAGTGAGGTAAATAACACCATTCTACTTTATAAGAATTTTTTATTTCACAGCTAAATAATTTAGGACCAGACCGTGCTACACTTTTTTCCCCACAGTTTTTGATAGCTTACCATGCAAGCACCCCCAAGGACCAGCAAACCTGTGTGACAACTCCAGTGACAGGATTCCTTAGGGATCACTTGCACAATCATGTGGTATCAGCCCTAATAAAGAATGACAGAATCTGGCTGTTAAAACTTCATGAGATGCTCCAATACTGTGGTGACAGCAACCATTAAACTATAGATAAGTTACGTCTGAAACAACCCCAATTTGCCGCATTCCCAACTTCTAAAATATCCTCTGATTTCAGCATTGCTACTCTATGCTCAGCAGGGGATTTTTTTTTTTTTCATCTAAAACCTCATCTGAATTTCTCCTCAGACAAGGACATAATTGCAGATTCTGCTGCCAGGGAAAATTCCTGCAATGAGTTCTGGTTTGTACTTTTGGAAAGCATTTGGAAAGGTTTCCCTTCTCTGGTGGTGAGCACTAAGTGCCCTCTCACTGTTTAGAAACAGACAAAACTTCTTTCCGGAATTAATAAAGGTACTGTTACAGGAGTGTTTATATAAATTAAATTGATGGGCTACACGAAAAGCTCTTTCAAGCTGCTGGACATCCTCAGTGTGAAGCGAGTTGGCCAGAAGGATGTGCTAGGCTGAGGATTTACAGGTTTAACATTCCTCAACAGTTTGACGCTTAAATTTCTAGTTACCACTTCCACACTCTGGGAACATCCCAAACTCGGAATAAATAACCTATGGCCTGCTGCAATCATTAGAATGTCTTGGGGTTTATTTTTTTGGGGGGGTTCCTAAGATGTGGCAGGGCTGAGGCCGAGCAAGGGGCAGGATGATCCCACGTTCTCATCCCGAGGGAGAACCGGGGCAGCCCCGTGTGATGATGAACACATTGCAGAGAACGTTTTTTCCATACATAATCTTCCGAGGAATTTTTTTTTTTGTGCTGGGAAAAATATATTCCCTTCACAGGGAATCGTCTCAGGCTCCTCGAATTAAAGGGGTGAAGGAGCTGAGGGGGGAGGTCGCTCAGCTCCACAGCCCTGCCCGGGCACGATGGCGAGGGGGAACATCCCCCTGTGGGGATTATTTGTTCTGTAAACGTTATTTGTTCTCTAACGGTTATTTATTCTGCTATTTATTCATGTTACTTATTCTGTAAAGCCCCTCTTCCCCCTCCCCGAGCCGGGTCCAGAGAGATGGGTAAGCAAATCTGCGCTCCCATTTCTGCGGAGAAGGGAAAACACCAGAGGGAATCCGGCAGCTATTTCCAGGATTTAAAAAATCACAGCCCACCACTTACGGGCAATTACACTCCCCATAGGGAAAAAGCACGAGTTAAGAGCCGGATTTATTTTAATTATTTCTTTTTATAAGCATTCACCGTTTTAAACGAGGCTCGGCACCGGGGCTGGTCGGTCACGCCATGGAGGGCGCGCAGCCCTCATCCCCTCATGGCGCTGCCGCCGGTACCCCCCCCCCCCCTCCTCAATCCATCCCGGGAGAGTACGAGTTAAAAGTTGGATTTATTTTAATTATTTTTTTTAAACAGTCATCCTTTTTAACACGACGGGGGAGGCGCCTCCCTCCTCCCCTCGCGGCACCGCCTTCCCCTCACGCAGAGGGCGGGAGAGGCGGGGAAGGAGGCGGCGCCCGGCGCGGCCATTGAGCCCCGGCGGGTAATGGCGGCCGGCGGCGGCGGCGGCGGCGCCGCCTGGCGGCGGGGCGGGGACAGCGGGGGCTGAAGGTGGCGGGGGAGACGCCGTGAGGGGACAAAGCGCTGGAGCCGCCAGGTAAAAAAAACCCTGGAAAAAGGGAGGGACGGGAAGGGAGCGGCATGGCATGGCATGGCATGGCATGGGATAGGATGGGATGGGCCGGGCCGCGCCGACGGCGCTGAGCCCGCCGGGGAGGAACCGAATCCCCTCAGGGCGAATCTCTCTCTCTCCGCTGAGGTCGGGGCTGAGGCGGGGGCGGGGGGCGGGAGGGGCCGCCCCGCTGTAATTGAAGCCCTGGGTGAGGAGGAAAGGAGGGAGGGACGGGGGGAGGGACCTCGGGGGCTCCTTCTGTGCTTTGTGTCCAGGTGGCGAGGCCGAGGGGCGGCCATGGGGGTGCAGGACCGGCCCCAGTGCTTCTTCGAGATCGAGATCAACAGGGAGCCAGGTGAGGGCTGCGCTCTGGGGGCTTTTTCCACCGCGTTTTTCCCCCCCTTGGTGATGGGGCCCAAGACGCTAGCAGCGAGTTTGGCCGCGGATGTGTTATTTCTGAGTTACTTTTTTAATAACTTCGGGTGTTTTCTGCGGTGCTGGGTGCTCCTGGGTCTCTCCTGGGTTCGATTTTTATTTACACACGTGAATTTAAAGGTTTGGAGAGGCTCATGAACGCTGTTTCTGTGGGTAAAAAACTGTCTGGTGATGTGTTACACCTTTTCTATTATACCTTTGTTATACCGGCTCTATAAACTGTGGGAAATTGGGGCAAGCTGTGAGGAGGCTGGAGATTTACTCCTATAAGTATTTTTAATCATACAGTAATTAAAATTGGGAAGGGACCTCAGGAGGTCATCAGGGCTAAATCTTTCCTCCTCCTGCTCAAAATGAGTCTTTTGAATGTACAAAGAAGAGCTGACCATTCAGTCATAAGGTATCTCACCAGGCGGCCTGTTTGAAAAAAAAAAAAAAAAATAAAATAAATCCATCCCTTAACTTGTATTTTCCCTATGGGAAGTGTAATTCCCATGAGTGGTAGACTGTGAGTTTTAATCCTGGAATAGCTGCTTGGTTCCCTCTGGTGATTTCCCGTCTCTGCGAAAATGGTTGTACAGATTTTCTTACAGATTGTCTTCTATGAACGTGTATTTATCGGTACGTATTTACTTGTCTCACACACAACTCGGTGCTTTATGTTGCTACTACTCGTCTCTCAGAGAAATGAATGTATGGGATGGCTTCATTTGTGCTTTCACTTTCATTTTCCGCTTTAATGTTTCTCTGAAAGCCTTTGAAGTAAAGAGGCTGTATCATCTCTGAGACTCCAAATTTCGGCTGCATTCAGATGTAACTGAAACCCATTTAGCTTTTTATTTGCACCGCAGTTTCAAAAGAGAGATTGATTCTGTTCTGACTTCAGAGACCTGATAGGGCATATCTGTAAATCTGTTGCTATTGTAGCTCCTGTCTGAGTTATTTTGATTAACAGTGTATTTTCTGCATAGTTATATTGAAAAGTGTTGATGTAAGTGGAGTTTTAACGTGTTCTGTTGCTTTAAATTCGGATTTACTATGGAGTGAGACGACTGAAAATGTTGTAGATTGTGTAGGTTTCCAGTTAGGGATGGCAGTTTGATGGCACTGATTTATAGCCAGGACAATTAATTCTTCACCTCATTTGCTTTGAATCTTTTTAAGTTTTTTTGTTTGTTTGTTTGTTCTGACTCTCCATCTGAGGGATCTCTCCCTGCGCAGTTCCCTCTGCTCTTTATGCTCAGGTTGCTGCTCCCGTTTCATAATCGCTCTTGTTGCCTCGTCCCCTTCCTCAGCCCCGGGCTGTGCCTGGCGAGTGAAAGTGGATTACCTTGCTATCCCCCAAATCTGTCCGGGATTGATGACTGATAGCGGTGTCAGGGAGGAATTGCAGCGTTTGTGTTCCTGGTGGTGCAGAGCCTGGCTTACCTGGAGCGGACCCAGGGCTCTGGCTCGCCTTTGGGGCTGTCTGCGTTTATTTTCTCTTCAGAGTAAAAGGAATCTCCCAGCTGAGTCCCAGACTCGGGGCCCTGCTGGGTTTATTGCACCTGACTAATGACTGGTATCTTTTGCAGCGAAATGTGCCAATTTGTAGGATGTTGGTTGTGGGACTTGGGCATGATCTCGTCATCCTGCTTTGTTCTGGCGCCTGTTTATTAATTCTCTGTGCAACTATGCCGCGGGATTTAAGGATATATTTAAAAAGCTTAAACGTTGCTCCCTTAGCTGGGAGATGACCTTCAAAAGCTGAATCGAGTGGTAAATCAGTGCTTCCAGATGACACCAAGCACTAACTCTGAGAGCTGTGCTCTCCTGCTGACACTACGGAGGTATTAAATTTAACTTCTAAACTGCCAGCAGGTTTCCAAATGAACATTCTGCTGCTTGGACTTTACAATAAACAAGCCCTGATCCTTGTTCACTCTTATTAGAGGTTGGCAGACGGATCTGGGGAGCAGAAGAGCCCTGCATTTTGCTGTTAGCAAAGAAATAGGGCATTGCCCCCACCCTGTCTGCACTGAAAAGCTGAACTAACATCTCCACAAAATGCAGGGACCAGAGGATGTGCCTCTTGCAGGCACCTCTTTGCCTGCAGAACACAAACCTGTGTCGTTTTTAACACTTGGGAGTCCAAAAACGTGCCCCCCTCCCAGGCTTTGCTTCCCCAGTGCTTCTCAGAATACCTGTAGCAATTAAAAGTAAGATTAATTTTACTCTAATTGGATCCCTTAGAAAATGCAGCCATGAATGATGTCACTTTGCTTGTGCTTTCAGCATCTTTTTTTTTTTTTTTTTACAGCTTTTGTGTCCATATTTTAAATTTAGCTACAGAATCTTGGAATAAAACTTGGTGCCAGCTTGTGTGTGCCTCTTAGAGTGGGGCAAACTTTGTGGGCTTAGTGTTTTTTTGAGTCTAAATTTAGGCTACTTATAGGAAGTTGCCTGTTAAGCATTTTTTTTTTTTTCTGAATGCACGTTGTGGCTTGTAATTTTTTAAAGAGCAAACAGGGAATAAATCAGGAGTAAACATTTATTTTGATCCTGGCACAGGCAGCACCTCTCCCTTCTTTTGGGCCCCTCACCAATGGATTTGGCTGCTTGCAGCGTGCACACAGGATTAAAGTGCTTACAGCATTCCAAGAATTTGGGGATGGCAGCAGATGCCTATTTAAATAATTCTGTCTTTCCTCTGTGAGGCAAAATCTGTGTGAAGCTCCAGTCTTGCAGGTACTGTGATAATTGGAACAGATGTCCCACTAGGATGTCACAGATGCTGCTCTAGCAGTTCATGTGGCCATCCAAGAACTTCTTCCCACATCTCCCCTCCTCACCCCATCCCTGACTGACTTTGTATCCATCAGAAAGTATGTTATAGTTACTAAGTATTGCTTTGTTTCGTTTTTATTCACAGGAGAATTTTTTCATTTCTTTTTTCCTCCTGTCTCTTGTTATTTTTTTTGTCCTTGCTCACTTTTCCACTTCAGTTTCTTCTGTTCCTGGTGTGTCCCTTCCCTTATCAGTCAATCTGTTCTTTCCTCACTTTTCTCTTTCTAGTCCCTTTTGCCTGAAGTTTGGTGTATTTTGGGATTTCAGCTGCTATGAATTTATGTGAGACAAGCCCTGCTGTAAAATGCTTTGTGCCTCCAGTAGTAACCCAGGGATGCCTTTAGGGGGTTTTGTTGCCTTTCCCAAAGACAGAAGCTGTTCTCGACTGGCTTCACATCAACTGAGAGCCCTTTGAAGGGAGACAGTTGTATTTTGGCAGAAAATAGATCAGCACTTCGAGTGTCCACGAGCTGATTTGCAATTCGGTTGTGTCTGGCACAGAAGGAGCCGAGGGGGATCCTGTGTGGGGAACCCCTGCCAAAGGAGATAAGATATAAGATTGGAGGGAATTAGTTTAATAAAACCTGTAATCCAGTCATCCTGTAGGATTGTTGTTGTCATCAGTGCAGGATGAAATGCTCTGGAGACTCACCTTGAGGGCTGGAACAAGTTGGATGAGTAACTGGAAGACCAAGTGACCATCCTCTTGTGCCAGGAGAGGAAGAGCAGCCTCTCAGCTTCCACATCCCTGTGGATTTGCTTGTGTGCAGCACTGAAAGATGTTTGGTTTTGTGGAGACCAGTGTTTGTGGAAGATTGGGATTAGGAGGGAGCTGGGGAAAGAAGTTTGTGGGGGTTTTCCTTGCAAAGGGGTTAGGAAGTGTTACCAAAGTGTTAATGTGTCACACTGCAGATACTCTGCTCAGGGGAACTGGGACATCCCTTCCTGCGACTCATATTTTAAATGCAATCTGTTCTCTTCCCCAGTAAGCTTTTATTTTCTTACACTGTAGCCACATTTCTACTTGAAAGCAATGCTTTTAGATTTATGGGCCTTAGTGTTCACAAGTGTAGGGATAAATAAACTAATAAAATTCAAATTCAGTCCTTTTAGTGAACTGTTGCTTAAACTTGAATGCAAATCTGTCTGAGCCTTTGGGGCCCTTGGCAACCTTCCTGGTCTGTCTGTGCATCCCTGTCTTCGTGGTTGTAATCCCTGCTTTCTCCTTCAGCAGGATATTCCTGCTCAGATCCTGGGAAAAGTGCCTCTTCCCCTGGTTTTACCCTAAGAAATTGAGAAAGAGATCAAACCCAATAGGTGTAATTTTGAATAAGTAGGTTTATTTTGGGAGTGTGTATCAGAAATTGATACCCGTGTGCTCTAAATATAATAGAGCAAAACAGTTCACATGGCATGGAAAATAACTTAGAAAACAATTTATGTTTGGCTCCCAGGTCCTTCTGGAAAAGTTAAGCAGCTTAATTGGAGGATTAACATTTGAAACAATAAACATTTGGAATCAATGATTATTCTAATAAACTTTGCTAACAGGAGCCTTTATTTTAATATAGCATGGATATTCCTACCCTGAATTTTTACCACTTAATTTGATTCAGTACTGGTTCTTCCTCAGCGGGAAAATTTGTTTAGGAGTTCAAAAACAAAATTAAAAAAAAAAAAAAGGTTTTCCTCTTTCAATTTGAGAATAGAGTTCTGAAGTAGGATTATTTCTGGTCATTTTGCCTTCTGGTTTCTCTAATTGGTGCAGCTCATTAGCCTCAGATAGCACTTTATGAAATCCAACTTCAAAACATCTCAGACTTTACAAACAGCAAGTGCTGCATTTCTAATTACTAATAATGTACATCTTTCATCACTCTAATTTCTACTAAAAACTTTTAAAAAATAATACTTCATGAAAGTATTGTTTTCCAGATAACAGGTACATGTCTGGGTAGGTTTGTGAGCAGCCTTTGCTTGCTTGACTGGCTCTTTTTAGCAGATTTTTTTTTTAATTTGTTTGTTTTCATTTCCTGTTCAAATATTATGGTTAATCCCGGAGAGCTCCTTCCCCGATCAGATAACTTAACCTTTGCATCAGGGAAATGAAGCTGAAGGAAGCATTGGAAATTTTCTCTGTTAGACTGAGGGGTCATTTCAGAGAAGAAGTGTCCAAATCTGAGGAAATAAGTAGCATCTCAAATGCTTTTTTTTTTTTTTTTAAATCTGTGTTGACTCTGCATATACCTCACCCCAAGTTTAAAATGAGATTTTTTTTTCATGGGGTCTAACCATGCCTATTTTCATTAATCTTTTTATTAACAGCTGTTATTTCCTGCATCTTTGACCGAGGTGTGAAAATGGGTTTGATCTTTCCTGACACATTTAATTGCCTGTTTGTCAGGGGAAAATCCAACCTTCCAGTGATAATGGTATTCCTGGAATTGGAGTAAAACACAGGCAGTAACCCAGCAGATGGATACACAGCGTGTGGCTGCTGTTGGATGAGGAGCCAGCAGAGTTTTGTGTTGTTGGATAGAACTGGGTGAGCAGCACTTCAGGTTTTGTGGAAGAGTTCTCTGGATGCTGGAAATGTGTGTGACAGGCAGGATGGGGCTCTGAGCGACCTGGTCTGATGGAAGGTATCCCTGCCCGTGGAAATGGATGATCCTTGAGGTGCCTTCCAACCCAAATCATTCCACGATTCTGTGGACACCTTCTTATTGACAAAGCAACAGTGAAAGACACTGTTCAGATCTTAATACCTTACTTGTGAATGCCTTTTTCCATCTTCTGCCTTGTCACCTTCAAGAACTTAAGGTAATCTTCTTCCATCAGAAAGAAAAGAAGTGGTGTCTGCTGCTTAAGGTGCTAAATATGATGGGATTATAAGTAGGACTTGCAAGCAGAATCCTTCCACAATTTATGCCTAAGGCTAAAAATCCCTTCTGGAGCTTGCAGGCACTGACACCTCCCAGTTCTTTGGCAGCTGGCACCTTGGAACCAGCAGCTGGAACCTTGGAACCAGCAGCTGGGCTGTATTTCTTTGAGGAGAATGGGGACAGTGGGAACTCCTTCCCTGGAAAGCATCGTGTGTTACTTCACACAGTGAATGCAGGAGGGATCTTCTCCTCTGGAGCCAGGCTGGGAGAGCTGGGGGGGTTCACCTGGAGAAGAGAAGGATCCAGGGAGACCCCAGAGCCCCTTGCAGGGCCTAAAGGGGCTCCAGGAGAGCTGGAGAGGGACTGGGGACAAGGGATGGAGGGACAGGACACAGGGAATGGCTTCAAACTGACAGAGGGCAGGGGTAGATGGGATAATGGGAAGAAATTCTTGCCTGTGAGGGTGGGCAGGCCCTGGCACAGGTTGCCCAGAGAAGCTGTGGCTGCCCCTGGATCCCTGGAAGTGTCCAAGGCCAGGTTGGATGGGGGTTGGAGCAACCTGGGCTGGTGGGAGGTGTCCCTGCCCATGGCAGGGGGTGGAACAAGATGATCTTTAAGATCCCTTCCAACCCAAACCACTCTGGGCTTCTATTCCCTGATTCTCTGAAATCTGTGGCTTTCCAAAGCCCTTGGTTCAGTTCAACACTTTTCCAGCAGAATGGGAATGGGACTTCTGTTCTCCTGGGTTCCTGGAGTTTCCGATGGAAATGGATAACTCTTTTGCTGAAGTGTCTCCTTCATTGTATGGATCTTCAATCCTCACAGCTTGTCATGGTTTCTTCACCTCCAAATAACTCCCTTTTCGCAGTGGTAGCTGCAGAGCTGCTCTTTGATGTGAGATCCCTGAATATTCCCCATTTCTTCATTCTTTGGACACTCTCCCTGCCCATTTCCTTTAGATTTTCCTGCTGGAATGATGAATGCTTAGGGAACATTCTCGCTGCACTTAATGAGACACAGACATTGCAGCAGCTGGAATTTTTACCTAAGAGTACAAAATTCAGGTGATGTTATTTCAGTCCTTCCTTTCTGAGCCAACAATTCACCTGCTTATAATTGTACATATTTGGCCAAAGCCTTCAAATTGAATGCAGCTTCTTGTAAGCCTCTCAATATTTTACTGGCATTAAATGAAATACATTTCGACTTCAGGTTGATTTTTATTTTTTTTTTTTTCTTTAAAGGGAAGAAAAGAGAAGTTATTCCTGGAGTAGTTACTTTTTAAAATGATCCTGCAAGTCTTACCAGGGTGCACCACTAGAGTGTAGTGCTCATTGACAGATTGTTACTGGTCTGCTTGTGGTGCTGGCCATCTGTGTGGCTTTTCTGGTTGTGTTTCACAACCTGTAGGTACAACTTTTTCCGTGCTAATTATGTATTTTCCAAAGATTTCATATATTTGGGAATGGTTTGGGGGGTTTCTGGGGGGTGTTGTTATGTTTTTTTTGTTTTTTTTTTTTTTTTCAGTACTCTGCATCTCAGTATCTTGGAAAATAAAATAGAAAATATGAATCAGTTTTAAAATACTTTTCTTTATAATAAGTAGTTTTCCAGCAGTATTTTAATAGTTTTGGCAGGCAGATAACATAAAAAGAGAAAGTAATATTTAGTTCACAGTATCTGGCAATTAGTGCTGCCTGCCTTTCATCTTTCCTGTTTGGTTCATCTCTTTGTTTTGTTTTTTTTTTTATTTTTAAACCAAAGGATTTTAGGCCAAAAGTGCCAATGCATCTGTAATCCTTACCGTGATGTGGAACTAAGCTGGAGTTTTTAGGTCATGATCCCAGGGAAAACTGTGGAAATGTGATTATTAATGCATTTGTGTAAACATGGTAATTGGGGAGGGAATTCCTCCAGCTCTCTGAGGACTTGTATTTATGGTAAATCTTTCTCAAGACAGATCTGATGTGATAAACTATTTCAGTAAATCAGTATGGCTTTCCAGGTTCAAATCAAAACGGGGTCATTAAGCCTTTTAATAAATTAAATGTAATGATATTACTTAATAATTTTTTACAATTGTTATTGTTCTTCCTTGCAGCTTGTTTTAATATTTGCATATTTAAGACCTTTTCTTATTCTGCTTAACAAAACAACTTTTTCTCTGAAAATTATACTTCAAAAAAATGCTTCTTTATTTACATGGAGACTTTCTCCTGTTATTCCAAAGAGTTGTAAGACTCTTAATTTTATTTTTTTTTATTACTATTTTCTAGTTGGTCGAATTATGTTTCAGCTCTTCTCAGACATTTGTCCGAAGACTTGCAAAAACTTCCTTTGCTTGTGCTCAGGTAAATAACTTGTTTATATTTCGGATTTTTTAGAGTGACTGACAATTATTATTTGTTAATACGAGTATAAACCACAGCCACGGGGTTACCTGAGGGGGTAAATAGTGCATGATGGAGATCACTTGGCACCCAATTCACTGTAGTCACCTTGGCAAAGCTCACCTGCCCAGGGGGTACCCCTTGCAGTCACTGCCTGACTCCTCCCCACATCCCATTTCCGAGTGATTTACAGCTCATGGAAAGAGCTGCTTAGGCAGGACAGGCACAAGTAGATGGAGCTCAAAGATTTTGTCTCTTTCAAACGAAAAATCAAACATATTTAGGGCTAAAAACTTCAAAAAGAAAAGCTCGACTCATGAGCTTTGTTCACTCCCGTGGAAAATAAAACCGGGCTAGGAGGAGGCCTGGATTGTGGGTGTGGAAAAGAACTTGTGCTCTTTGAGGGAAGGTTCTGTAAGTGCCGTGAACAGCAGTGCCCTGAGCGGGTGTTTTGCCACAAACTGCTCTTTGCCCTCATCCTGGCAGGGATGGGCTGTTTGGAATGGGAAATTTGGGATACCTGAGCTGTCAGTTAATTTGGGGTGGTGGAACAATAGATTGCCAAGTGGGAAGGTTGGCTCTGGGTAAGGAGTGGACCTGCATTTCTGAGGGCATGTACTGGTTAAACGTCCTCTGACTGGCTGTCAAATGCCTCTTCCATAACCAGTGGTGGTATAAAAGTGAATATTGGACTATTTACCCTGTCTCCTTACAAAATATCTCCTGTACATCTGGCTTAGGTGGGACTTCAGCTGTTGCACATGGTATAATCTATCTGTTTTTAATTGCCACGTTCTGCCAGCTCCCCTCTTCCCAGGAGCTGAAGTGTCTCTTGACATTCCCTGAGTGGCCCAGTAGAAATCCCTCATGAATCTGGCTGAAGAGGACTCTGTGAGCTGCAGCTCACACAGAAACCAGTTAACCCATCCTGATCCTGAACTCTTGGTTCCTTATAAATTATCTGGGTGGATTAACACACCCTTCCTTGGAAGGGGAGGGAATTTTTTTAAGGACCCACTTAATTTTCACCCGAGAGTCCCTTTCTGCTATTAATGGATGGGGAAAAGGCAACAGGTAGGGCTGTGTTACCTTTTAAAGCTTTGATCTTTGATGCCTCCCTGGGAAGGAAAAAACCCTTGGAATTTGTCCGGTGACAAATCTGTAGATTCTTTCTGTTTTAACCTCCCCTGCAGGTGAAAAAGGAATTGGCAAAACAACTGGAAAGAAGCTTTGCTACAAAGGCACCACATTCCACCGTGTGGTTAAAAACTTCATGATTCAGGGGGGGGACTTCAGCGAAGGTAAAACAGCCCTTTGGAAACTGGGGAGGTTGGAATGGGAGCAGAACTGTTGGAGTTGAAGTGGTTATGATGTGTATAACCTCAGAAAATGCCAGGGAAAGTATTGCAACGCCATAAAAATATTCCCTTTGCTGGAAAGTGTAGCCCAGATCACCCCTTTGCGAATGTTTGGAATTCTGAGATATTTCAACTGGTGCAGTGTTGGTTTATTGTGCCACTGGACACGTCAGCTGATGTGTTCAATCCTTGCTGGAGGGTTTTACCATTTTCTGTCTTATTAAAACCATTCAAGTCCAAAGTGGAAGTGATTTTTTCACTCCTGTGTCTGCAGTAGAGGCAACAGATACAGGAACAAAACTGTTGGATTAAGTTTAATAATTAAGTAGTGAGCAAAGTGATTAAATGTCTCAGAAGGAAGATTTTCCGGGAGTTTCTTTGTTTCCTTCCCTGCAGTCTGTGCACAACAGGATGTTTTATCCTGTTGTCCTTCCCACAAATGCCTCTCCTTACCAAAATATTTTTTTTTTTTGCTGTGTCCTGAAATCCTGTGCCTGATCAAATGATTGTGGAGAAGGAATATTCTTGTTTTGAGTAAAGTTAGAAGTGCCTTGTAAAAACACTGGTGGAATGTTATGTACAGCTTGTGTGTAAATGAAATAAAAGTTTTAATTGATGCTTTTTCGTGTGCAGGTAATGGAAAAGGAGGTGAATCTATTTATGGTGGCTATTTCAAAGGTAAGAGGAAATATGTCTTTGCAGATTCTTTATTCAGTTCTGAGATAAACAAGTCTTGATTCCCAAACTACTTAATGAAAACAGGTCTACTCATAGATCACCTTTTGCATGAAACTAATGTTGCATGAGAATTCTTTTTTTTTTTTTTATATGCATGACTTTCAGATAATTTTTTTTTGTTGTTAATATTTAACTTTAACTGACGATTAATTAAGGCTAACATTATTGGTTAAACGTGACTTTCAGCATGGAGGTTAGGCAACTTTATTCATGAATAAACTCCTATCTTCCTGCCTAAAACTGTCAACATATTCTTTTGTTTATAGAGAATGTGGTCTTTTGCAAAATGAAAAGGTAAGAAACACAAGCTCAGTAACACAAATTCAAACTCTGTTCCCTTGTACCCTCCCTAGTAAATATATAGACAACTGATACACCCCTTTGTAGATGGATATCTGTGTTGCTTGGAGAAATGAAGAGTTCTGTGTCTAACCTTTCTGAGGGTTAATGACTTTTTCCAGCTCTAAACAGTTATTTCTTCTTTTTTTTTTCCTTTTTTTTTTTTAATGTCCCTTTTCCTCCCCTTCCCCTACTCAAGGTTTGTATTCTTAGTGTTCATTTCTAAAGTGTGATTTATGAGCTGCACAAGTTGTTTTCCTTGCAAAGAGTTGGTGAATAAATTAAATTTGCCTCTTTTAAAAATCAGTTGGAAGGAAAATGGTGAGTTTATGAAGTATTTGTTTAAAGACAGACAGTTATTTCTGAAAGAACAGGTGCTCAGGTATTAAGACATGGATATATTTATTCTGTATGTGTTGCAAGTAGCTCTGCCTGCCTGTGCATGAAGTTTCTCTTAATAAAAAAGACCTAGTTTGATGTTGCAATATTCAAATCTTTAGTCAAGGGAAGCCTTTAATAAATTAAGAAGTCACTCAAGGTTTGTTTCTCGACACGGTGAGTGCTGAGCAGGCAGGATTGAGTTTTGATATATAATCTAAAAAGCTGCAGCTTTGTACGCTCAAATTACTGTTTTTACTTTGAAAAACGACCTTCAGAGGATCTGGTTTTATATCATGCTGTGTGCAACCAGAGCTCCTCTTTAATTCACTGGAATATAAAATACGTGTTTAGTTTAGTCTTAGTTGGTTTTATACTTAGATTCAGATATTTAGGTGGTTTTTTTCTTTCCTCTTATGTTTTGAGCCTCCCAGTTTTGAATGGAGAGGTGGCATCTTTTAGTGCCATACCAGGGAAATAAATGGCTTTTTCTCCTGATCTTTCCACCTGGAGTATAAATATCAGTATCATGTGTGTTAAATCTTGTTTTAGAATGTTAGTCAATCTGCCAACCTTGATCTTATCCAAGTAACCCTGGATTGAAATCCAAATCTGTGAGACTCTAATGTGAATTGAAGACACTAATAACGGCTTTAATTTAATTTCCATTAGAAATGTTTGTGCTAGATCTGAAACTTTTCTGCTTTGTCTCAACTCTTAACTTTGAAGAGACTTTATTTCAACTTGTTTTTTCCCCCCCCTACCCTGTTCACATTTCTCCAGCAGCAGCAGAATTTCTCCTCGTAGCAACCATAAGTTTAACTAAGAAAAAAAACAAACAAACAAAAAAAAAAACCCCGCCTGCCTTGTCAGGGATTTAAAAAAAAAAAAAAAAAAAAAAAATCTGACAAACATATTTTTTCTTCAAACAGATGAAAACTTTATTCTCAAACATGACAGAGCGTTCCTTTTGTCAATGGCAAACCGAGGGAAACATACCAATGGTTCCCAATTTTTCATGTGAGTAGCTGGGACGCCGCAGTCGAGCTTTGTCGCTTGCGCGGAGAAAGCGCCGTTCATGAGAAAGATGGTACTGCTGATGAAACCCTCCCTGCCCTTGTCAATCCACCTGCTCTGGGGCTGCCCGCTGAGGGGGTGGGAGGTGGCAGTGCTCACCGTTTTGGGGTCTTCCTTTTGGGGTTAGAAGGTTGATTTTCGTGGGCAGAATGGGAATTCTTCGGGTTTTCTGGGCGCACCGAACCTTTATCGGGTTATCTGCAAATTACTGGGGGGGGAAGATCTAAAGGGGATTTATGTGGTTCTGCATGTGCTCCTTAAAATATGATTTACTTTGTGTAGGTTGTTTTGTTTTGTTTTTATTTGATTTGATTTTTTTTTTCAGGAGGAGAATGAGTAAGGCTTTTGTTCATTGGGGGTTTTTTTGTTTGCTTATCATTGTTCTTATTATTATTAATTTTTTGAGTGTTTGTTCCTTTTTTTAATATATCACTTCATAATTCTGCTCACTTGTGCTTATACCAATACTTTAGTACCAACACTATGTAAAATTATGTGCTGATAATCCGATTTTTCTTTCACTGCCTAAAAAAAAATTCCATTCTAGTAACCACATTCTGCTCAAATTGTAGACAACACACAACTCTACCTGCAGTAAACACTCAGGTCTGATAATGGAGGGATTTCTGATTAAAGCAGCTGTATTTTAGGTTCATTATCATTATTTTTAAGCTTGCTGATTTTCCTGTGATTATTCCTCCTATTAGGAATTGCCTCCTGTTAATGCTTAACACTTTTTGTATTTGGGAAGAGCAACTTTATAATTTCAGTCTTGTGCTGAGAAGTACTTTGTGAAACAACACTGGGGCTTTCAAAAGCAAAGTTTAGAGTAGTTACTTAACTAGAAAAAACCCTCTTTTTTTTGGTTCTCTTTGCCATCTTTCTTGGGGGAGAGGAATGAATGGCGCTTCCCTGTCTTCAGGAAAGGAGGAAATTGTCCTCAAGAATCTTTCTTTTTATTTTTCTATGCCTGAAAAAGATCTTCAGTATGATCTGCTGTAGTTCAGATAAGAGACATTTTTAGGCCTTTTCCTTAAAAAAAAAAAAAAAATTGTCCTAAAAATGGAAAATGCACAGGAACCTGAAGAGAGAGTCTTTCACAGTTCAGACATTCCATGGGGAGAAAATTGTTTCAAAACTTGGTTTGTGTTACCTTCAAAGGAAATTTCAGATGCTGTGCTTCCTTTCATGTAAATCTGAATACATATGTGTGCTCATTACTGTGGAAAACAGGCTAGATAAATAATCCTCTGAATATAAATATATATATATATATAAATAACCTCTCTGAGGGCATTGCTTCGCTTTTCACCACGAGGCGACTTCCTTTGGGTTCTCTTGCCATGATTTTCCATTTTTAAGCTTATCTGAACAGCACATAAAAACCTAATGATGTCACATGAGTCAAGCAGCTGTCATTTGAGGGCTCTAAAGTTTCTTTTCTCTCCTGCATTTAATTCCAAGGTCATCTTTTCCCCCCTTAGGGTTAGTAGACTTTGGTTAGGTTGGAGCACCTTTGTCTGTCCCCACACAGCTTGTGCTGGATGCTAAATTATAACTTGCACAGGACAAGAAAATGAACAAAATTTAAAGGCACTTTCCACAAATAGAGAAATATTTTGAAAGATTTCTTTTAAAAAACCCTGATTTTTCATGATACCAGTGTGAAGAGAAAGTGTTAGTTTGGGAATTCGGAGTCAGATTTAAACACAGGTGATCTCCATGGAAAGTGGATTCTCCTCAGCTGCCTGTAGGAATCCAGAGCTGGTTTAAGGGTCTTGGGGTGTCCTCCCTGCTCTCATCTGCCAGGAGAGATGGCTGTGGATGTCATGATGAGCTGCCTGCCCCAGGCAGATTTCCTGGGTGTCCTGGGATGTCTTAAATGGCACCAGAGTGCCCTGGAGTCAGGGAAGTGAGTCAGGATTTCAAGTGGGAAACCGCTGCTGCAGGTTTTCTGTGGGTAGTTCCTGCCTGAACTTTAAAATGCAGTTTATTAAAGCAGTTAGTCTGGCTTGGTGGCATTTGTCTGATGCCCTGAGGGGTTGTGCTGTGCATCCTGACAGCTTTGCTTCAGTCAAATATTTTGCTTCCTTCAGTGATTTGCTTTAAGCTGGAATTAAAATGTGCTTTTTATACTCCAAGTAATGCTCAGGTTCTCTGTAGTTTACCATCAGGAAGATTTGTTCTTGAAATGTATAACCTGGAAAGTGTGTGAAAGGCAGTCCTGAGATTTTTTTTTTTTAATGATTGAATATGTTTAATTTTATTGATTGGATCTGTAGGAGGGGAAGTAACTCATCCCCTTCTCAACTTCTTTAGCCCTTTGCCTTTATTTTCATAGATCTCAGGGCTGAGAACTCTGCTTATTGTGCACATCTAATGGAGCAGAGCAGGAGTGCAGAAAGTGATTTTTTTCATTTAGATATTTGTCTAAGGAGGGCTGAAATAATGGCAAAAATCCCCACTAAAACCGTTTTCCTTGTTCATCAGGAATGCTCTCCCTGCTTACCAGGGAAAGGTGTCATTTGGAATAACGGCTCCTTGCAGGAATTAATCAGGCAGCAAATCCCTTTGGCAGACTGCACGAACAAACCAGTCACAACAGGACTCTGCAATGCCTAAAAATCGTTCAGAGTTGATTTGAAGTTGAAAGTTTTACCCAAAATAGAAGCTCCAGACTCATCTGAATGTAAACAGGCATCTGAGCCACCCTAAAATACCCTCAGCTTTCTTTGACTGGGCAGGAATTTCTCTGGCACGACCGAACCTGAAGAATTTCTGAGCAACAATAGAGAGAGCTGGGCATGGAAAAGGCAGTGGGAATGTTGTTGGGAAGCTCCAGGGAGAGGGCAGGGAGAAAAGAATGCCTTCCAGTTAAAGCTCTGCTCCAAACTGGCGAGGTGCAGGGGGAAGATGAGGAGTCCCAAGGGTGTCTGTGGAATATCAGAAGTGCTGTGTTTAATGCTGGTGCACTGATTTTCCCCCCCACTCTTTTTTTTTCCCTTACTGGAATAAGAGCAGGAGTTGGATGGGCAGGAGGATGTTTGGCTGAGGAAGGATTTTGTGTTGAAGACCCTTGTAAGGCACCAGGCTGTAAACTGGCTGTTTGTGTTTCCAGAGAGCACCACTCTCTGATTCTTTTCTGGGAATAACTTCCTGTGTCCTGAACACCATCTGGGTGTGTTCATCTTTACCTGTCCAGTTTCCACTTGGATGTTCCAATATGGAATCCCTAGGGTGGGGCAGAGGTTGGCAGGAACCCCTCTAGAATCCTCTTTCATTTTTTAGATCTCCAATACTTGCTTTGAATTGCTGCTGATAGTATTATATTAATATTAATTATTGGGGGAGCACATGCAGAGCATTGCACAGATACAGCTGATGCCTTTAGGCCCCTGATTTAGAGTCCAGTGGGGGGATAATTGGTCTGGTCTTGGACATTCCAGGCTGTTTTCCTGTGGGAAATGTTCCTCTGGAGCCACATCCTCTGCTTCTCACTGGAGCTGATCTGCTTCTTGTCTCCCTGCAGCAGCTCCATCGTGCATTTGACAATTCCCAACCTGCCAGGAAGGAAAGCCACAACTAAAATAAATAAAATAAAATAAACTCTTGTGAAAATGAGTGTCTAAAGTACTAAAAAAATGAATGACACTCTTGATCCTCCAAGGGCTCACCTGGGCTCAGCTCTGCCTCTGTGGTCATCCCAAATTCTGTCCACCTACACTTAACAGAAAATGAGAATTGCCTGTGCAGAGTGAACAAAAAAGAAACAGCAGGAAGCAAAACAAAATGACCAACCCCTTTGTTTTGTTTTCCCTGGGAAATGGTGTGTGATAATTAATTTATTGCCTTGTTACTCAGCTGTGTAGCTTGCTGAGGAATAGATCCCTGTTGCAGCTTTGAGAGGAGTCTGGACTGTGCTCCTTATCAACCCAAAATGCTTGGAGTTCTTGCCTCTGTGTTCAAAAGCTATTTAAAACTTGAGCCTTAGTTCCTATTGCTGCCAGATTTATGTATTTTTTTTTTCCATGTTGAGGTTGTTGTTGGTTTTAATGTGTCTCTCAAGCTCTGCTTGCTTGCTCAGAACTAAATAGCTCTTTTTTGTTTTGTTTTGTTTTCAAAATGTTTAAATGTGTGGTGCCATGCCTAGTTACTAAATTCAAACAAACTAACCACTTTGATCTGCTAAAGGAAGGATAACGTAAGTTGTGAGGACTCTTTTGTTTTGATTTTACAAATTATTTCTGAGTATTACCAGCTCATTAAGAGCAGCGCATGTCTTTTTGGTGTCCCAAAACAGTATGTTTCTAATCAACAGTTAATAATTTCTTTTTTTTTTTTTTTGCTGTGACTGAAATACCTCTGAGCTAATTATTAAATAGTTTATTCATATAAACCCTCAAAGATGTTAAAGAAAGGGGCTGATGTTTCATTATCTTTGAGTAACAGTGGTTCATGTGCACTTCCCACACCAGCAGGTCCCACTGGCCGGATGAAAAGTTGATGTCAAAACATTTCCCAGGGTGCCTTTACGTGTCATAAGGAACAAAATCAGTAACAAAAAGATCATTCCAGTGCTTGAGTGAGCAGAGCCATCATTAATAACCTGCAGTTTATTTTTGGAGGAGGGGCAGGAGAAGGATAATGCATTATTCAAACATTGCTGCTGCTCAGAATCAGACCAGACCTAAAGCTCAGTATTCACTGGGGCAGCTGTTTGGGCTTTTTTTTTTCCATCTGCAATGGATTTGTTGTTCTGGAACTCTGAACAGGAGCAGTCAATGAAAAAGAAAACACCTATTTTTCTTAGTTGTAGAAAAGCTTCACAAAGCGAGGGAGGTGTCAGCTGAGTAGGAACTGTCTGAAGTTGTCCCCTGGCAGACTTTCCACCTTTCACTTGGGAACCCAAGCTCTGCTGTGCCTGTGAAATTCCTCCTTAGGAGAGGGTTCAGTGGAGCATTTAAACCCCTGAGAAACTGCAGTAAACCCACAGAAATTGAGTATTCACCTGCCTGAAGTTGGGCATTGCTGGGTTGAGACTTGGAGGGGAGTGGGAGGATTCTCTTCCCTGACTGGTTTTGCAGCAGTGTGACAAGCAGGGTTGGTCTGTAGTTTTCTTTTCGCTTTTTAAGGAGAACTTTTTTAGTTTTCGAAACACCTTGCATCCCCAAGAAAATTTAGAGCCCTCTCTTAGGCATCCTTGTTCTGCGTATACAACTTGATTTTAATATGAATTTTAACCTTGTATTTGCTAAAAACGTAGACGCCGTTTTTTTTTTTTTTGTCTGGAAATGTATTACAATTTATTTCTGCCATTTTTGTGTAAAATTTACAGAAACAGTGTTACATCGTGCGCTCCAAAGGTAATGTCTCATTCCTCTAAGGCTGTGTCCTTTCCTTTCTCTTTCTCTTCTTATCTTTTCTCGTTTTTCCTGATCATGTTGTTATGTGCATTGAACCCTTTGTTAGGCCTGAAGTTCTTGGGTGGTGGTGGTGGGGGAGAGGGGTGGGTGATAAAGTGCTTTTATCAAAAAGAAAAAGATGATTTTTCTCCTCAGCAGTGTCTTAGAGCTGTTTAAACCTGACTTTAAAGTGACTTTAAAGTGACCTGAGTGAAGAAAGGTGTTGATCCTGCTGTAAATAACTTGGATAATTGTCTCTGTTATAAAGCAGATGTTGAACGTTTTCAGTTATAGAAATTCTATGTAGAAATGTTCTAATAAAGATCATTTTGGGGGAGGGACTCACCATGACTTCAGGTTTCCACGGTGCAAAGGCAGGAGAAGGTGGGGTTTTCTCCTGATGAGGTTTGAAGGTTCAAGGATTGATGAAGAAAACTTTTTTGAAATGCTCTTTTAAGAAGGGCTCATTCCCAGAATAAATGTGGTGTTCCAGCCTCAACACCGAGGTGAGGAAAAGCACAAAGCACAGCGAGGAATTTGGGGATCTGCTTCCTGTGGCAAGTTGTTCAGTCTGCCAGCTCCTTGTCGTGCATCTGAAAGGTTTTCCCTTGGGATGAGGCTTTTCCTTGGGTTTTCACTCCATGAAAGGAGAGAAACCCTGTCCATCTTTTCTCTCCAATTGCCACTCAAATGGGAGAAACCTCTGCACGGGTTTTAAGCACCAACTGCCCCTTTCTTTGCTCAGTAAGGCCTGGTCTAAAGTAAATTCTTTCCTTAATTGGTCTCAAATGCTGCTACAGCCTCCACAGCCCCTGTGTTTGAACCTGCTGCCTTTTCCAGCTAATTCCAAACACTAAATCTCCCATACCATTGGTTTCATGGAAGGAGCCCACTTTTTTTTCACTCCTTTAAATCAGCTTTATCATTAAACCCACTTAAAGTGTTGACTGAACAGCAGGTTGTTAATGCAGTTAACTCTTGCTTAAAGAAATTCAGAAGCTGCCAAGGATTTTTCTCCTTGGGGGGATTCCCTTCATCAGCAGGGGAACACCAAAAACACCCCCTGCTACTGACAAATTCAGTGGTGTCTTAATAGCATTTATCCCCCTGTGTTAAACCAGAGAAGTGTTCTGTGTTATTTAGTATTACAGAAGTGGAAGGTCTTGGCATTTGGAGCTTAAAAACAAATCAGGAGTGTAAACACTGCCTGATCCACAGTTCCATCTTGTGGGATGTGTTCCAGCACTGCAGTGTTTGGTGACCTAATAGCTCAAAACTCCAGGGAAGATCCGTGGTGAAGAAGCAGCATTTTATTAGAGCAGTGAAAAAGTGACTTCATCCCTACCCAATGTGGGCCACTGGAAATGCAGAGGAAGCACCTGTGGTTGATTCTTTATTTTGAGAGAGGGGAGCTCACTGGAAGAAGGTTTGCAAAGCAAAGTAATTCTTGGGAGGAGAGAGAGAGAAGAAAGATGTTTTCTCCTCTTAAAGTAACTTCAAATGCAGATGGTCTTGACTTCTACTTTATTTCACCCCCAGTATTTGAGCAGGTTCTGATGTTTGTCTGGGTAGGAGGGTTCCCTGGGCAGCAGGAGCTCAGGCTCACTTGGAAAAGTGACTTTATTTTGGGTTTGGAAGAGGACAGAGACACCAGGTCATAGTGTAAAATCAAACAGATTGGTACAAATTGCACTCACATTTCCTATTCAGGCTGAAGGTGAGGAGCTGGAAAATAGGGAGGGAGTCTGGGATTAACTGTAGGGTGGCACATGATGTCCTGCTGTTGATTTGGGGAAGTTCATGAGCTGAAGTGGTGGCTGATTTAAGGCAGAGCTGGTGCTTTGTGTTCCTGAGGCCGAGCAGGTGCCTGGAGAGAAGGAGAAGGAGGTGGTTGGGAGGGAGGTGAAGCAGAGAATTCTCTCCCATGTCATAACTCTTCTCTTTTAAAACACATGACTTTAAAGTGACCTTGTAATCTAAGAAGTTAATACCCTCAGAACCATTTAAATTCCAGTAGTTACCCATTATTTGTTGCCAAATTGTATCTTCTCTGTGATTATAAGTTGTAGAGTTATATTAATGAGTATTTAAAGACGTATTTGGCAATTGTTTACTGCATGCATGAAATGATACTTGGTACAACTTTTTCAAGTATGCACAGTTAGTTAAACCTCAAGCAAATTTCATGTAAAAGCTTAAAAAAACCTGTTTGTATAATCTGTAGCTTTAATAGCTTTAATTTGTTGAATTTCATGTGTGTAACTGGATTTTTTCACTGTTTTTTTTTGTCTTACCTTCGCCTCTTTTTTTTTTTTTCCCCTGTGTCACTCTCTTCTTTTCCTTCATCTGAATCCCTGCTTTTATTTTATTTTGCCATCTTCCCATCTTGCTGTTTGTCCAACAGAACAACAAAACCTGCTCCTCATCTCGACGGGTAAGAATCCTCTTCAGTGGTGACTAAAGTTTGAAGGGTTTAAGCCCTTCACATGTTACATTGAAAGCAGACAACAATGGGCAAACAAATCCTTAATTCTGGGAAGGATTAGACAATAGAACCAGCTGGAAAACAAAAGTTGGAGTTCCAGAAAAAGTTGCAGCTTATTTCCTAATGCTGGACAAAAAAAAAACTTGGATTGCCTCAAATCCTAACATTGTTTCTTTAAAAACTGCCCTCAGCCCATAAATCAGCGAGTTGAGTTGTCAAGTTGAATATCTCTGGAATAGCCAGCCCTTTTCTCCAGGCGTGTGTTCAGCCCCAAAATTTATGGGGCAAGTTGAAAGAAGGAAAGAGAAATGTGGTACCACGGAACAAAACGGAGGATTCCTCAATCAGAGCTGTGCCTGCAGTGCCAGGGGGGGAATTATTGGTGTTCTGAGCTTGGAGAGACCTATAAATTGTTCTTCTCCTGGGAAAACTGCCCTTTTGTCGTGTTTGTGTAGGGACTCTCGATGGCTGTTGCCCAAAATTGCTAAAATAGAAGGGTGGGTGAGAGATTATGGTCTGTTCACTCTGTCCACGTAGCAGAGAGCAGATTGACATCAACTATTTCCCTCAGATTGGACCAGAGGGGATCTCTGCCTTATGCTGCATGAAATCTTAGCATTTAAGTTAAAGTAATTTAAGATAAAATCTCATTTTTAACGCATTAAGAGCCGAATGTTTCTATTTCCCACCGACTTTTTAAAGCCGAAATCAGTTGAAAAATAATTACTTAAACCTGAAATCCACGGGAAAAATAATGACAAGCCATCTCTAAATGTTTTTGTACCTTCCATGTTTTCTTTCTGCAGTGTCCATGTTGTCTTTGGGCTGGTTATTTCTGGTTTTGAAGTCATAGAACAGATAGAAAACCTCAAAACTGACACTGCGAGTCGACCCTACGCAGACGTTCGGGTCATCGACTGCGGGGTGCTCGTCACCAGATCAGCCAAGGATGGTGAGCCCACAATTCCCAAACCTAAGGGAAACCTTAGAATTCCCAAACCTGGCTCTCAGGGAACACACAAATTATCCCACCCTCTAAAAATCACTGGGGTAAATCTCTAACCTCAAGCAATTCTTATGAGCATTTACAACTTCAGCCTTGGGGGAGGTGAGGAATTAACAGCGAAGGGGGAAAAAAAAAGGTTTTCTGACCTTAAATTTGTCCCTTGAAAAATGGGTTCCTGCTTCCCACACTCTCCTTAACACAGGTTGGGTGTTCATGTGGCAAACTCCTAATCAGGAGTTATTTTTCTGAGTTTGGAAGAGGGAGGCACAAAGATGCTTCTCCTGAAAGAAACCTTTGCAGGGGTTTAGTTAGAGATCCTGCAACATTAATACATGCAGTGTATGGAGTCAACATAATCCTCCTTTTCATAAGTATTCATAGAGAAAAAATTACCTTAAATATATGTTTGGACAGTTGCTGTGATTTTCTACTTAATTTTTGACTTTCCTTGGGTATAATGTTATTTAGATCCTGTAGAGAAAGTCAAGAGCATGAGTTGTGTAAAAGTGTGAGGATGCAGAAAGGAGAGAGTGAAATAAAAAATATACAACTCAAGCTGCAACTAATTTGTTCTTTGTTTTGCAACCTGTGCATTGTTTTTAAAGAAACTGATTTTTTTTTTCACTATAAATGATCTTTACTTATCTGTGCACTCTGTCTTTGCTGGAAATTATTTGTGTGTACCCATATGGATTTAGGTGTATTTTCATAGTGATTCTTTAGTGCAACTCGTTGTGAAAAAGGTCACAGAGCTCCTCTGAATCAACATTTATATTTATATTTTTATATATATATATATATAAATAAAATGGTCTGGTTTATGCTGTGTACACACATACACACGGTGTAAATTGAAAATCATCTGTTTGAAGCTTTGGAGAAGAAGAAGAAAGTCTGTTCTGACTCCGAAGGCTCCGAGTCCTCCTCCAGCGCTTCCAGCTCTTCAGAATCCTCCTCTGACAGCGAAGCTGAAAACGAGAGGAACAGGAGGAGAAAGAGGAAAAGAAGAACTAAACCCAAACAGTCCAGGAAGCGAAGGAAGGAGGAGAGGAGGAAAGAGGATCCAAGGTGCAAGCGAAGCTCAAACCAAAGACGGTGACTAATCCCTTAAACTTCGGAATTTTGGAGGAATCTCAGAGGTTCTCCTTTTGTTTTCAAGCACTGAATATGAAAATGCTTTTATTTGAGTTTTTGTTTAAGATTTTATAAACGAACTAAACTAACCAACCAAAGAAGCAAATAACCCTAAAGCTGAGCTGGTTGAGTAGAATTTTTCAGGAAAGAACTGAAGATCTTTGTAGGCAGGAGCTGCAGCAACATTGAAATGATTAAATCTCAGCTTAGGAGAGTATTTGGAGCTTTGTCAAAGTGAGACTTCAGGCAAAGAATAGGATCTTGATATATATTTGATTCTATTTAAAAATATTTCATGACAAGTTGTAAATCGAAAGTACAGCTGTGTTAAAGGGAGACTTCAGGCAAATAACAGAATTTTGGTATTTATTTGATTATATTCAAAAGTATTTCATGGCAAGTTGTAAATTAAAAGTGCAGCTCTGTTTAAGCGAGACTTTAGGCAAATGATAAATTTTTACGATTTTGATAATATTCAAACATATTTCATGGGGAGTTATAAATTAAAAGCAAAATTATTTGCTGTAAAGCAGGGACTGAACCTTCTCCCCAGTAATAAAGGACCGTCCTTCCTTTAGCCTGAAGTGGGTTGTTAAACCACAGTTGGGTTGTTAAACCATCTTTAGGTTTGATGCATCAAGTGGGCTTGGCTTGGAATTCACTTGCAGTGAATATGAAAATGATTTTATATAAGTTTGGATTTTGATGCTTGAATTTATTAAAAAACTAAACCCATCGTCTAAACAAGCAAAACACCCTAAAGCTGAGCCGGTTAAGTGGAGTTTTCCAGCAAAGAATTGAAGATCTTTGTAGGCAGAAGCTGCAGCAACATTAAAATGATTAAATCTCAGCCTGTGAAAATGTCTGGGGCTCAGTACACCTTTGTTAAAGTGAGACTTACGGGAAATAACAGAATTTTGATATATATTTGATTATATTAAAAAAAAATTTCAGCCCAGGTGGTAAATTAAAAGTACAGCTGTGATAAAGGAAGACTTTAGGCAAATAATAGGAAAAAATAATAGCTTGAAAGGGGTTGTTAAACACATTTGAGTGGTTAAACCATCTTTAGGTGGTTAAACCATCTTTAGGTTTGCCTCATCAGGTGGGCTTGGCTTGGAATTCTGTTGGAAAAGAGGTGTTTTCCCAGCTGGCAGCTAACTGTGCTTGTGCCCATAGCAGCCTTTCTGACAAGAGCGACCTCCCAGACAGAGTGGACGTGAGCACCAAGAGGGACAAGCCCGTGGTACGTCCTGAAGAAATTCCCCCAGTGCCTGAAAATAGATTTTTGCTCAGAAGAGATGTGCCTGTTGTCAATGTAGAGCCTGAACCGTAAGGAACTCTGAGCTTTTTTTATTCTGCCTTGCTGAAAACTGTGCATGAAATAATTCCTGTGACCGTCCCGTCCCTCAGTGCTGGGAGGAGGTGGTGGTGGCTCGAAATGCAGAATTCCACCCCTTAATTGTCCTTTTTACAGTTCTCTCTGGAACATTCCTTACAATCTGTGCCACCTCGTGAGCTGATTTTCCTCAAGGATCACACTTATTAAAAAAAGAAAAAAAAAATTCCAGACAAAAATTTGCAGTGTAAAACCACGGCAACTGTTTGATTGCAAGGGGATCTTGGATTCAGGAGAGGGGGATTTTTTTTTTTTTTTCATCTTCAGTCCAAGCAAGATGAAACTTCGATCCAAAATCAGTCACCTGGAATTTTGTGACTCATCAGGGTTTGACTGAGAGCCGTAAGATTAATAAAAAAGTGCTCTCCTTTTGCTGCAAAGGAAGTCAGGAGTTCATGAGGTGCTTTCAGTTTGTGTTTTTGCACCTCCTCTAAATTGCAGTTGGGTTGTTTTTTTTATCAAATTTCCTTGGTTTGGGTCTCTGAGCTAAGACATTACAGTGTCAGATATCTCTAAAATCAGGGGTTTGGGTTTTGGGGGGTTTCTTGGATTTTG